TAATTTGGGTCAAATTAGAAATATTTTCTCTTTTTTGAATTTCTAAATTTTTCACTATTTGGGCCTATTTAATTTTTTTTCCTTTTTTGAACTTTGGAAAGAAAATAATAAGACAATTAATTTTTTATTAAAATTTCATTTAAATTCTTCTACTGTTTGGGATGAATTTAAAGAATTTTTTTACCTAGAGATTTCTTAAAAAATTTACTGTTAACTTTATAGGTTATATGGTGATCTAAGAGGAGGGTGAATTGGATCTCTCCAAATTCTTCCTAAATAATGATTTCAATATAGTTGAATGAAAATTAAGACAATAAGCCCTTTTGATAAAAATATAATGAAAACAATAACAATTAATGAACTTAAAATCAAATATGAACAATAATAAATTATAAGGAGATAAGGATAGAGAAATCAAACACAATAATTTATAGAGGTTCAGTCCTTCTCCACAAGGCACCTACATTCTCTCTCTTGGTTGTCCACACCAAGGCTCTAATCCACTATATGTTGAAGATTACAAACAAGCTTCTCAAAGTTTTACAAACTCAACATTACATACTCTTAAGGGTTATCCTCCCCCTTAAGCTTACAAGCACAATACAAAATTTTTGAAGTGTATTGCAAACTCTAAGAACTTCTCAAAGGTTGGGTGTTTGCTAATTTGAAGTATACAATGGTATAGACAAGAAAATGATGAATGAACAACAAAAATAATTTGGATACAATAAATGGAAAGATATAGTCTTTGAAGCTCTAAAAACTCTTGAATATTTGAGAGAATGAAAATATTGCTTGTTGGCTCTTGCTCTCTTGATTCATTAATCTTCTTGGTGTGTTGGAGTGCTCAATTTATAGAGAAATTGAAGAGGTAGCTGTTGGAAGTGTTTGGGAGAAGAAAATAGCCGTTGGAAGCATAAAAAAGTAGTTGTTGGAGTGTTTTCACCTAGAACCAATTGATCCTTTGTTGAGGGGATTGATTGGTTCATGTTTTGAACCATTTTTCACTTGAAAATCATGACCCGATTGATCCCTTCCATAAGGGGATCGATCCTGTCAGTGGCTGGGTGGTTATATTCTGTTTTGCACTTTATTCACTAATTTGATCATATCTTGAGTTATATAAATCCAAATCACAAACCGTTTGAAGATTTAGAAACTAGACTTAAAGGAATTTCTATCCATTTAAAGTTTATCACCTAATTCACTGTGTACGAATTATAGTGAATTTTCAAAGTTAAACCTTGTGCAGTTTTTTTGACAACTGCAGAGTGTCTAGTAAAAATTCAAAATCTTTTCTTAAAAAATTTGGATTTTGATTTTGTTTAATCCATTAGAAAGTAGACTTAAAGAGCTTTCCAACCATATGAAATTCAAATATTAAGACTTTGTGAATTAATACAGAAAAATAAAACAATTTCAATGTTGAAAAACTTTGTTCTTGTAAAACAGTTTCTTAAGTGAATCTATTTCTCAAAATCAATATTATCAAAATTGTATTAAGTTCAAAGTGAATAAGTTCACTTTAAAAACAAAAATTGGACTTTCATTTAAGCTCAATAAATAATCTTTAAAGATAGATTTGGTTTGAGAAATATGAAAACAAAGAAAGGTTTGTTTAAGCTTTGAAAATCATATTATTTATTTAGTATCAAAATATAAAACTTAAGAACATGTACTAAATAAATCCTTTTTCAAAATCTTGATCAAGTTTATTTAACTTTAATGTTTTGTCATTTCAAAATAAAGATCAATTCGAGGCTAATAATTTATTTTTAGGATCAAACGCTTACCACTATACCAAAAGCTATAGTTGATAGTGAGGTGCAACTCTATTTGCTTATTCTCTTTTGGTAGTGCAGAGCCCCGTTCTAAGTGACAGGTGGACATAAAGGGCTTCTCAAAGCCTTAATAGGATATCTCACCCATTGGGCCTCGACAGGTTGGGTTGCCATCATTGAAATCCGATCCACCATGAGATACCTCACCTAGATGAATCGACATATCGAGTCTGTAAGGGAGACCGTTGGACCCCATAATCCAACAATCTCCCCCTCAGCGGCACCTGGGGGACTTGAACCTGTAACCTTGCTTTGATACCAGTTTTCAAGATCAAACACTTACCACTACACCAAAAGCTATAGTTAATAGTGAGGTGCAACTCTATTTTTTATTTTCTTTTGGTAGCGCAGAGCCCCGTACTAAGTGATAGATGGACATAAGGGGCTTCGTAAAGCCTTCATGGGATATCTCACCCATTGGGCCTAGGTAGGTTAGATTGCCATACATCGAAATCCGATCCATCATGGGATATCTCACCCAGATGAATTGACATACCAAGTTCTTAAGGAAGATCGCTAGACCGCATAATCCAACATTTACCATTTGAAATTTCTAAGAATCTCATCATTGGATAATTATCAAATAGTTTCAATAAAAAATGTTTATTTTAACTTATTATTATTTTTTCTTTTTTTTTGTTTGAAAATAATTATTAATTATTGTTATTGAAATTTTATCTAAATTATTTCACCGTTTGGGACAAATTTAGAAAAAAAATTTCTCACATAGGAATTTTATAGAAATTTACCATTTAAAATTTTTATAAATTCCATTATTGGATAATTAATATTTATTCTAAATTTTTTTTATTTTGTTTTATATTTTTTATTCCTAAAATCTAATTATGTAAAAATACAAGAAAAAGAAAATAAATAAATGGAATAAATAAATATAAATAATAAAATAATAAAAATACCAAAATAGGGCATGGCTCAACTAGGCGGTTGCGACACGGCTTAACTTCAAGTATATAATACAGCTCAGAAACGGGGCTTGGAGGAAATCGGCTTGGCTCGGGTCAGCTCAACTGAAATGTCTGATTGGGATAAGAGTTGGCGAAGTGGGTTGCGCTTGGATTGGGTTGGCTACTTATAAATGCACGAATCCTACTCTTCTTTATAACGTCCAAAATGACATCGTTTTACTTAGCTATAAAAGCTAGAGATTAGCCTTTTTCTCCAAACCTCACATTTGCCTTTTCTCTCCTATTTCTTCTTCTCTCCCTATCTCTCTAAGAACGAAAGAAACCAGGTCAAAAACTTCAAAGGTTTCTAGATCTCGGCATCGGTGCCACTATACTTCGCGATCGACGCTGCCGTATTTCGTCACTGTTCTGTGGCCTATTAAACCAAAATTTACACCATCGATGCTTTTCACTTTTCTCGTCTCAAATATGGGCTTGATTTTTTTGAAAATCCACCTCTAATGCCTCAAATTTGAAGCTAAAAGTGACAATTTTTCTTTCCCTATTTCAATCTCTTCCACTGTCAGATCTTCTTCAACTTTTGATATGTTGTTTCTCTCGTCAAGCTCTTTACCCTCACTGTTCAGATCTCTCAGAAATCATGCCGACCGTCACCTGTCACCGCCGTTACCAAGGGAGTTTCTAATTTTCCATTTTTTTTTTGTTTTTGTTTTTGATCTCCTTTGGTTTCTAACTTGGCTTTTTTATTTATCTTTGTTAATATTTGGTTGCTATGTTTTTGAGCTTCTTGATATCTTGTTGCTTTGTGGTGCATTTGTTGAATATGAGTTGTACTACTTTGTGATTGCTGGTGCAGTGATTTTTTTATGATAGCTGAATGCAAAGTTGGTTAACTGGAGTAGTGCTTTCTTGAATCCTTCTGTGCTTTCTGAAAATTAATTTTAGAGAGTTGGGTTATGGCTGGAATCGGTTGGCAAGGTATAGGGCTTCTGAATTTGTGATTTTGGTGATGACAAGGTCAAGCACTTGGCTCTTGAGGGTGATGGCCTGATGGTGATAAAAGCTTGACAAATTGGCATTGATGCTAACATATTTGGTTTCTCTATTTGCTAGGAACAAATTTTTTGAGAATTAGGCTAGGAATTGGATGTAATTTTTTTGTGTTTCTCGTGCTTTTCTGCTTGAATTCCTGTGTCCCTATTGTTGTGAATTGCAATGATTTATAAAACCAAGCTGATAGAGTTTTAGCTTAACTCTAATTAGTGTCCAAAGCTAAAGATTAGCACATAATTAAGCTTTCTAATAACAATCATCAACAAAACTAATCTTAAATTTTTAGCTTTTTTTTTTCTTTATTAATCAGATAATAATAAAAAAAAAACTATAGATAGACCATAAAATAAATATGATAAATACAAAATAAAATCTAAAATAAAAATGGATTAATGAGAACTAACACATATACTATGGCAATGCAATTTGAAGCCTTAACGAGAAGAACTTACATGAAATTTTTAATGAGAACAACTTATTTTAAGTGAAATTTGAGAAATTTTTTATTAAAAAGAAATAAAAATTTTAATAAGAAGTTTATGATAAAGTTAAATGAGAATATCAATAATATGTAAAAAAATATTATTGAAAATACCGTTTATAATAAAATTTGGTTAATATTTATTTAACAATAAAAATTCTATTAAAATTTTTATTAAAAATGTCTATATAAAAAATATATCAAAATTTATTAAATTTTTTAAAAAATTATATACTTAATTTATGTAATAAAAAATTTTAATCAATTAACTTTGATTTTTAATTTTTAATTTTATTTAATCAATTTTAATAAAAAAATTTCATAAATTTCACATAATGTAACACTTTCCTAAAATTTAATTCACAATTGTCACCAACTCACCGTAACATAGATTAACATATTCATAAAGTTCAAACAAAAGAAGTTTAACCATGACAAATTCATGATAGTACTTCAACTGCCTTTTTCAATCCTTCCACTAGAAATTCTTGGAGGAGAACCATGAATATATATAGCAAAAGTTATGTAATGATTGCTTTTAAAAAAATAAAAAAAGTAATAATATTATCATTGCACAAATTGATAAGATTTTTCATTGGTCAACAAGTTTAATTATTTACCGTACAGTACTTGTAAAAAAAAAAAAAAAAAAAGAGGAACACCAAGTCTGATCAGAACAGTCTCACATGAGGGCACAGTTAAACAAAGCAAATCAAATTTGCATCCCCTCAGACCCAATCAACTTTGTGAGCCCAAAAGTACAAGCCATGGCCATCCATCCTCCAACAAGCACCCTGGCGCTAGACTTCATCACTGGAGTCCCCCCAAGCAAAGCACCCACCACTCCGAACACCACCAAAGCCATGCTAGCCACCGCAACCACCAAAGCCATCCTCACCTTATGGTCTCTTATAAAGCCTGCAGCCAATAGCGGGATCACTGCTCCAACTGAAAAGGCCATGGCTGATGCTGCAGCAGCATGTCCTGGATTTGGCAGCTGCTTCCTCTCAGTCACTTCCTTATTTTCTCTCTCTGATCTCTTTTGCTTCTCTCTTTTCATTTGAGCTATCTCTACATCCCTTTGAGTGTATACAGACACAAACTCTCCGATTGCCATGCTGCAGGCTCCAGCAATCAATCCTGCGAAACCTGCTATAATCATGGCTTTGATGTCTTCTTTAACAGAGCCAACACCCATCATTAGAGATGCAACAGAAACCAATCCATCGTTGGCTCCCAAAACAGCCGCTCTAAGCCACTGTCCTCTCTGAGAGTAACCAAACTCATTAATTGCAGGTTCTTGAATTTGGTTTTTCTCCGTGTCAATAACATGTATGGACATCTCGACATTGTCAAGAGACGAAAGTTGATGGGTTTGAGAGGCAGCCATGATGGACAAAAACAAGGATATACAAAAAGGAAGGGCTTGTGGAGGACACACGCTCCTGATCTAGAGAATTTATAGACAGATTTGCAATGGTGAGTGGGTTGATTATGAGTTATGTGGGGCACTATCTCAGCGATAAGGAGTGTGGAAGGCACACGCATTCCCATTTGTTCAGTTCATTTCTTGCATAATTGGGAGTAATTAAGCAATGAGAGCCTGATCAATTAATTAATTTAGGCAAGCCAGTCTAGTATATGAATATATCATCCTCTTAAGGAAATCATGACCGCCCAGTCTTCATAAAAATGTTATCTATCTATCCATATATATATATATGTATGTATATGTATATATATGTATATGAATAATCAATTAATTAATTTAGGCAAGCCAATCTCCTATATGATTATATCATCCTCTTAAGGAAATCATGACCGCCTAATCTTCATAAAAATGTTATCTATCTATCTATGTATCTCTTTCTCTCTCTTTATATATATATATATATATATATATATATGAAGTTTCATATCTTACAACTGTCAATTTCTAGTTTTGCATCAACGTTAGAATCAAAGTTGTAAATCGGAATGTATAACAGCTTGGAATTGATGCGAACAATAATGTTTCTTACTCTCTTACATGACAATTCATGTAATGATATGGGCCCAGCCCCATTCTTTTTGACCAATTAAAGGCCAAGGCCATTTTGTTTTAGGCAACCGATAAATAAAGTCCTAGTTACTAATGAGGCGACGGCTACTCTTAAGTGGCGTGAAAAAAAAAGTGAAGAGAAAAAAAAAAAAAAAAACAAAGATGAGAGAGAAAAGAAAAAAGGAAAAGAGAGAGTTATTAGTTTGATCAAGAGGTTGAACGGAAATTAATCTATAGTTCGATTGAATTAAAATTTTGTTAGCATATTTATAATTTAGTATTCTATATTTTGAATAGTGTAGATTGGATTTAAAACTTTCTATAAGTAAATCTAAAGTATATTTATTGAGTCACTTATTTGGTTAGATTTTTTTAATTGTCTCTCTTATTATTATCTAATTTTAGTTTTAACTAGAGAAGAACTTCGTATATTAATTATTTGATAGTTCAGATTTTTTTTATGGTTCGTGATTTTTTTTATTTTACACTAGAAGATTTTTCACATAAATCTTGGTATGATTTATTTTTTCTACATTGTTGATTACTAATTATTGTCTATTTGTTATAAGTTTATTATGATATATTGCTTTTGCATTATTGTGTTTGTTACTTCGGGCTCAACAAGTGGTATTAGAGTTATAGTAATTTTGCGAAATCAATACAATAGCAATCTAGGACAGAAGAAAATACTATTTGAGATCATAAAAGGTGATATTGGTTCCATGATAAAATTAACAACATCAAATTATTCAGTTTGAAAGCCAATGATGGAAGATTATTTATATTACAAAGATTTGTATGAGTTGGTATTGGATGATTCGGCTAAACCAGCAAATATGAAAGATGAAAGCTGAAAGCTCGAAGAAACTAGGTAAAAAGATGTTGACCATAGTTAAAAAATAGATTGATATCAATATGTTCTATCATATAGTGTAAGAGATAGATGCTCCAACTGTTTGAAAAAAATTAGAAGCATTGTATAAAAGAAAGATATGCATGAATAAAATTATGCTTGTTAAAAAGTTACAACTTTACAGTACAAAGATGAGCAATCGATTACAGAGCACTTGAGTGATTTTTAAGATATCTTCAATCGAATAACTACTGAAGAGTTTAAAATGGTTGTTGAAATGAATGTGTTATTTTTTTAGGTTCATTGTCAGACAGCTGAAATATTATAGTTGTGATTGTTCTTAGTTTAGCTTCTAACTATAATGTGACATTAGAGATGATAAAGGAAAGTATACTTAATGAAGAAGCAAGATAAAAAGAGTCAGACTTAGAGAATTAAGCTTTTGTCATAGAGAACAAGGACACTAATATCAACAGTGTTAGAATTCGAAAGGTTATAGTAAATCCAAACATAAAACCAAGTCTAGAGATAAAGTGAAATTCTACCTTTGTGGTAAATTTGATCATATAAATTGGAATTGTAAAATCTTGAAACAAAAGCCAAAAGATGAAAAAAGGTAAGAGTTCAAATAATGGTAATGTTACAACGATAAATTCAGATAATGATTCAATTACTTTAATTTGTACACGTGACGATTATAATCATGTTACTGATCTAGACATTAAGTGGATAATTGACATAGGAGTGATAAATCATTGTGTTCCCAAGAGGAGTTGTTTACAACTTATAAAGTAGAAAACTTTAGTTGCACCAAAATGGAAAAAAAATGTGTCACAAATTGTTGGGATCGATGATATTATTGTACAAATTAGTACATGCTGTATGTTGACTTTGAAGGATGTAAACATATTTTAGATATGAAAATAAACTTATTTTCGATTAATGTTTTTAACAAGGAATGATATGTTATATAATGTATAATGTATAAGAGATGGATGCAATTGAACGATAACTAGATAAATGCCATTGAGGATAATGTTTAAGCAAATTTGTGATACAAAAGGCTAGCACACATGAGTAAGAAGGGGTTATAGATTTTGGTGAGATAGTCTCTCATTTCCTTGAACAAAAGTTTATCTTTCGATTCATGTAATCATTGTTTGTATGGCAAGCATCATAGAGTTTTTTTTTAAGTGTTCTTAAAGGAAAAAAATATATTGGAATTGATTCATTATGATGTATGTAATCCCATTGAGACTGAGTCATATAGTGGTAATAGATAATTTATTTCTTTTATTGATGATGCTTACGACTTAAGTATATATGTTGAAAAACAAAAGCTAGGTATTATAGTATTTTAAAAAATTTCATGTCATGGTGGAAAGGATGACAAGGTTGCCTTTAAAGTGTATTTAGATTGATAATGGTGGAGAATACACATCAAAAGATTTAAGAATACTATTCAAAGCATGGGATCAGGCATGAGATGATAAAACTTGAAACATTATAGCATAATGGTATAGCTGAAAGGATGAATCGCACTATTGTGAAAAAGTCTGATGTATGCTGAGGATGACAAAATTACCAAAGTCATTCTGAGGTGAAGTAGTCAATATAACCTACTATTTGATTAATAAATCACCATAAGTTCATTTAGGCTTTGATATTTCAAAAAGAGTGTCAACAGGAAAAAAGTGTAAAGCATTCATACATGTGTCAAAAGTGTAATACCCTTATCGTAATTTTTGTTATATTATTTTTTATATTATAAAAATATTATTTTTTATTTTATTTTACCTTAGGAGTTTTAATTTTGGTATGTTGTTGGATGAATTTATAAAAGGGACTAAATTGTAAAAATAAATTTTGGATGATTTTGGCAATAAAGATTGTTTTAAACAATAGAACAATTTAAAGGGTCATAATGTAATTTACCAATTTTAGGTCACTGGAACTCCTTACTTCGATGGCTTATTTGGTTGAATTTTAGGTATTTTTGATAGTACAAAATGTGATCTTTCTAATGGTACAGTTAGTTTATTCAGATGATTTATAGGTTAAGAGAATTGAGATCCCAAAATAAACTTTATTAATATGAAACTTAGAAGATTTGGGCAGTTTGTGATAATTTATCAAGTTTTGACCTCCGAAACTTAGGTTTCAGAAAATAATCTTTACGAAAACAAAATTCTAAGTTGTAGTATGACATTTCTACTTTAAATTCATGCCTCCTTTTATCAGTAAAAATTGTGAGATGTTAGAGATTTTTTGGCTTAAAATAAGTTAAATGATCACAAAATGTGAAAATTTCATAATTAAAAAATTTTTATTTTTAATTATTTTAAAAATTATTCCTAGCCAATATTTGATGTATTTAGTTGTAAATTACATGAATTTTAGTTATATTGTTTTTAATGAATTTTTACTCATTTTAAAATATTTTTATTGTATTAATTTCATATTATTAGTATTGTTAAAAGATTATTAAATTAGATTTAGACTTATAAAAATGATTACTATTAAATGTTAAAATTAAATATTTATAAAAGTTTATATTGCTACTGATTTTTATGTTTTAATTCTTAATTTCATATTTATACTAAATTTTAAGCATTTTGCTATAGTAAAAGAAAATTTGTTCTAATAAGTTAAAAATACTTTTAGATAGTTCTGATTAATCATAAAGGTTGCTACATAACTCAATTTACTTATGATAACCAACGGAAGGTTTGCCTTATTAAATTTATGTTTTCAGATTAAATTATGATTTTTCAAATATTAACACATTAAGAGATTTGTGTGATTTGCTAAGTTTCAATTTAACGCATCGGGTAAGTGACTTGATATTCTTTCAGTTTTTATGTCACTAAAAATTAGCCTTAATATGTTTAGAGTTGATATATATAATATATATTGTTTTATCCATTTGTTTGGTAAATCGGGTTAAGTATGCAAATATATATATATATCATTTCTTTGTTATGAGTTTGGAATATGATTTGATATTATTTTGATTTTTGAATATGATCTCGTAATAATAAATTTATATAACTATCGATTGTCGAAATATGAAATTTTACTGAATGATTATGGAATTGAATTTGTATGGATTATATTTTGAGAAAGTATATGAATATTTATTTTGTTTATGTTAGATCATCTAAAAATATCTTTTGATTTTTTCTCCTAGTATAACTATATTCTGACCCTGCCAATGTGGTTAATTGTTGGTCATGTTGACATGTACTTTGTGATATTGATACCAGTTTTGAATTATGCCACTGTTGAGAATAATAGTTTTTGTTTACCATGCCATCAGTGATATATTTCTATCTCATTGCATAAAACGGGTTACTATGATATACTTTTATCCCATTACACTAAAGGGTTTACTATGATTTTTGTTCTATCCTATTGCACTAATAGGTTAATTATGATTGTCAATGCAACGATTTAGTTGCTTCTGATATACTTTTTTTCCATTGCATTAAAAAGAAAATTCTGATTTTGACCTATGTCATAGGGGTTAAAGTGGTCGTAATATGTTACAAGAGACTAATAAAATTTATAGTTTTGTGATATTTGATTTCACTTTGTGATATGAGAATCTAGTTTTAAGAATATAGCTTGTGAAAATATGTTTGTGAATACAAGATTACCTAAAATATTTTTGATTATTTAGTTGATATTTTGGTTTAAATGTTTTGTAGTATACATAATCCAATTGAGGGGATTATTCTTTTAATATTTTTTGCTTTTTCAAATTTTGATGTTTATATCCTGGGAAGCTTAATCTTGACACCTACTTAGATTAGCAAGAGTAGCATATGTCTTTAGCATGATATAGCTTTCAAAATGAGTATTTTATTATTGATTCAAAAAGTTTTGTTAGTAAGAATTTTAGTATATTCGACCAACTTGTAAATGGTATAATTTTGTAAACTTTAGATTTTGTAAAATATTATTTTAAAGATAATTAGAGATTTTAATTCAATTTAATATATGTTACCTTGCATGCTTATAAAATTCATCGCATGAGTATTTGATGTTGTTATGTCTTAAATTTCGGCTTTGAAGCATGACAGAAAAAGCATAGGTTAAAACTTAAAAATAAAGTCACAATATGTGTTTATTTTATATGATGATGAGCAATTTAGTCACAAACTATAGGATCCTTTGAAGAAAAAAGACATTTAGTAGCAGATATGTGATTTTCTATAAAAAAGAAAGCATAGTAGACATTGAGGAAAGTGAAAGATTACATGGGTTACTGTTGAGTATGATGGTTCAACATTGATAAAGGTTTCACCTAGAAGAGCCAAAGATGGTAGAAATGAACAAGATATAGAACTTAGGGATACCAATAAGCCAACTACAGTTAGTGATAAGCTATATGCTATAAGTTTTGAGTAGAGTGAACAATTCTCTTTACCAGATAACGTTGAGCAAGTAGAGCTATCTTCGGCACTAGGTATTATAAAGTCTCAACCAATAAGATATACCAAAATGCATTGACCATCCACAAAGTATCCAAATTTAGATTTTATTTTAGTTACTAGTAAAAGAAAGTTAAAGAGCTCTAAGATATATAACTACTTTTGATAGAGCGCATTAGTTAAAAGCAATGAAAAAAAATGAAATCATTACAAAAAAAAAGTAAATATAATCTTATTAATCTTTCAAAAAAGATAGACCATTGAAGAATAAATTAGTGTTCAAGCTGAAAAAAAGATGATAAAAAGCTAGTGTGGTACAAGGATCGATTGGTGGTGAAATGTTTTTTTTAGAAACCCAGCATCGATTTTGATGAGATCTTCTCTTCAATGTGAAGATGAGTTCTATTTGAGTGGTATTGAGATTAGTAGCTAGTTTGAATCTTGAACTTAAGTAACTTGATGTCAAGATAGTATTCTTGCATGGTGACTTGCAAAAGAGATTTATATGAATAAGCTTGAGGGTTTTAAGGTGAAAGGGAAAGAATATTTAGTTTGTAAATTGAAAAAAAGCTTGTGTGGCTTAAAACAAGCTTTGCAACAATGATACAAGAAGTTTGATTCTTTTATGGTAGTTATAGTTATAAAATAATGAAAATAGATCTTTGTGTGTATGTCAAAAATTTTTTTGATGATAACTTCATTATTCTCTCATTATATGTTGATAATATGTTGATTATAGGATAAAATGTTGGAATGGTTAGCAAGTTAAAAAAAAATAATTGTCTAAGTCCTTTGATAAGAAGAATTTAAGTCCAATAAAGCAGATTCTCAATACATATATTATTTAGGATAAGAGAATTGAAAAGTTGTAGTTATCACAGAAAAAGTATGTTGAATGGGTGCTTAGTAAATTCAACATTCAACATACTAAATCAGTTAACATTCCACTTGTTAACCCTCTTCATCTAAGTAAAAAATCTTATTTGATGACTAAAGAAGATGAACTAACTGTGTTTAATATTTTCTTTATTTCTCTGTAGTCAATTCTTTGATGTATCTTATGATTTGCACACGATTTGACATTGCTCATGCAGTTGGTATAATGAGTAAATTTCTTTCTAATAAGGGGAAGGTTTATTGAAAAACAGTGAAATTAATCTTCAAATATTTGAAAGTCATCTTAAAAATATGCTTGAGTTATAGAAGTAGACAACTAGGATTTATATTGCTGACATGGCAAGTGACCTTGATGGTAAAAAATCTACTTCAAGATATTTGTTTACTTTTACAAGAAGAGCTGTGTCTTGAAAATTTAAGTTACAAAAGTGTGTTGCCATGTCGACTAAAGAGGTTGAATATATCATAGCAACTGAAGCATGTAAAGAAATGCTTTGTATGAAAAGTTTTCTTCTTGAATTGAAATTGAATCAGAAAGAGTATGTGGCATTTTATGATAGCCAGAGTAATTTAGATTTGAGTAAGAATACCATATACCATGCTAAAATGAAGCATATTGATGTTAGATATCATTGGTTGTATTTGGTGATTAAATAGTAGTAGATGCAGCTGAAGAAAGTTCATATTGATAAAATGCAGCAAATATGTTGACTAAGACACTTAGAAAGGAAAAGGTTAAGTTCTACAATAACTTAGTTGGAATGGATTTCTTGGCCAAGATAAATTCTAAATTAAACTATTATAGTGATAGATCTCATCCTAATGAAGCTAGAAGGGAAGATTGTTATGATGTGGGTCAAACCTTATTTTTTTTAACTAATTAAAGGTCATGTGGGTTTTGTTTTAGGCAACCAAGAAATAGTGCCATAGTTACTAATGAGGTGAGGGCTGTTTTAAATGGCATGAAAAAAAGGGTGAGCCGCCAAAGAGAAAGAGAAACCATAAAAAGAAAGAGAGAAAAGGGGAAAGGAGAAGGGAGATTTGTCAATTTGATTAAGAGGTTAAATGGAAGTTGATTCATAGTTCGATTGAGCTAAAATTTTGTTAGCAAATTCATAACTCAATGTTTTACATTTTGAATTGTGGAAATTGGAGTTAAACCTCTTTATTAACAAATTCAAAGTGTATTTGTTGAATTAGTTATTTGGGAGAATTTCTTCAATTGTCTTTTTAATTGTTGTTTAGGTTTAGTTTTAACTAAATGAAAATTTTATATATTTATTATTTGATAGTGGAGAATTTTTTGGTGATCCATGATTTTTTTTTAATATTAAAAGGTTTTTCACGTAAATTTTGATATACTTTATTTTTATTGTGTTATTGATTATTGATTATTATTTGTTTATTGTGGATTTATTGTGATATATTACTTATGTATTATTGTATTTATCATTTCATGCCAATAAAGCGATCCACCTCAATTTTCATTTTTTTTCTTCCACCCCATCACTTGCATACTTGAGTTCGAATTTGGTAACATGGCGTTTAGAAAAGATGGATTGAGAACAAAAAAGGGAATGAATCAAACTTTGTAGGACTCTGCTGACTCGACTGAAGCTCACTTGGATTCATGTTCTGTTTGGCAAAGGTTCAGATATCCAATACCAAATCTCAGCTATTTCTGTATACACTTTTTTCATCTTCGATAATATTCGTGTAAATTTTTGACATACTGTCAAAATTCGAACCTATAATCAGTAGGGCAACCTTAAATGTTTATTTGTTGGTTTCAAAACTAAGATCGAGTACTCAATTAATTTCTGTTAAATTATTTAAAACAAACTGATTTTCCCAAAATTAACACATAAAGAGATCAACAAACAAAAGCTTGGTGTTGATACTTACAATTCTCCTTTTGTATATCTCCTTATATAAAAACATGCATCACATTTCAACATAAAACAAGAGATTTGCAGCTTATAATAAATGGAGAAAACAGGTGTTGGACTCATCAGTGTTTGGCATGTAATTAAAATATTGGCAAAGGGGCTTAATTTGTAAAGATGGGATTGGGAGGTAGGTCTAGTGGAATAATTATGTAGAGGTGGATTACTGACTTGGAGAGCATACAGATTACTTGTTACTTTAGACATGGAAGATTAAAGAATACTTAGTTTTATATATATAGTGTTTAAGGAAGTGCGGTTTCCACACGAAAGTTGCCAATGCATCAGCCCCAACCACACATCATTACGGCTAAAATAATGAACTAAAGCTTGAAGTTGGTTCACCAAATTTGCACCTTCCACTCAAATCGTATCTTTTTTCCTCGATTTCTGGGGCTGCTTTAGCCCACTCCTCCCACCCCTTCCTTTTATTTTTTTTTTTATTGTTTTAATAGAAAGTGACAATTGCTTAATTGAATAGTAGACCACACCAAAGCAACTTGGTAATTGAAAATTGACTTTACGTTCTTCTTCACTCTTACTCCACGTCAGTTCCGGCGCGTGCTAGACCTGGGATATCAAAAGCAGAAAACTCCACTGTTGGTTTTGCCGCAAATCACCCTTCCATAAGAAAAAGGTTAAGCGATTACAGCTTGTTGGGAGGCAGCTAATTTTCTCAGGAGATGCTTTAACCTTTACGCATATTGAATCAAACTAATCATCTTCCAAGGAATGGTGGTGGGTGTGGGAGAACAAATGCCTATTACAAAGTGAAGAGTTGTCTAACACAAATTATGTCTGTTGATATTAAAGCATTCTCTAGCCAGTAGATTTCCAAGAAACTTGATCAAATATAAAGTGAAGAGTTGTCTAACATTAAATTTTGACCAAAAAATGTTGAGCCAAGATGAACCAAAAAGGACCGTTACCAAGTCATGATCTTGCCTAACCAAGCTTCTTCAAGAGATGATCCAGATAAAATCCTTCCATTTAGCCATTTTTCGTGATGTCACCACTTTCAACACTGAACCTTGCTTTTGTGCTTGTTAGCCAAGATCACAATCTTACAACAAAATGGCCTCTTATATTAAGCGCTAGCGAACAACTACAAAAATGAAAAATTAGAAAAGCCCTTAGGAAAAAGGAAAAAAGAAAAAGGCAAACCTTACACTTAAGCTCTTTACAGAAGAGTTCAGAAAATAAACGCACCTAACCATTTTGCAGCAAGTCCATTAGTCTTAACTATTCAGGGCACAATAATAGATGACAGATCATTATTGGAAATCTCGATGATATGGAAATAATATTTTTCCGCAGCTAAAAGAGCTTGTAATTATATATTGCAGCAAGCAAATTAACCATTTGCATCATCTAGAAGTGGAAAAGAAAAATGCCCTTTGCATGGCTTCTATATATCCTTTTGACAATGGATTGTTTCTCTTAATTGCAATTGCATATAGTAACATGGTATAGACTTATTGTGGGATTGGGATATAAGTGTTAATTCTAATACCAGACAAAGAACTTGTTGACCCCAATCGTACAAACAATACTGTGATTTACTAGGTGGAGAGGATAAAATGTATGAACCTTTTGCATGGTCTACAGCTGCATTTTTTTCTTCTCTAAGTAAGGGTTGTTTAGCTGAAAATTCAATACCACCCACACCAGATGCCAGATACTAAACTCTGGCCAAAGTGTGGACAAGGAGGACAATTGGGTGCAAGAAGTCTGCCATAAAAGGTAATTGCTTAGGCGGTACTCGTCCCCTGTGCGGATTAAAATGTCGGGGTCTGGTGCAATTGCCATATACATGTGCTTTTCAATGTCTGCCAACTTTATAAGGTTCTCATCCTGATGGCCGCAAGCGTCAATTCCCCTGATTTCTTGAATATGATTGCATTTTTCTTGGCAAGATTCTTGGACAGCATGAATGATCTCGTCCGAGTAAGTGTAGCAAACACAGATTGTGAACACAAATTTAGAGTAACCAGCAGTGGCTTCCATAAGTCTCAGGGCTGCATCCCTAAGATCTGCACTTAAGAGTGCTAGGTTTCCGGCAAAATGAACTCTCACTGGAAGATGTTTCGCTATCCTAGTCAACAGTGTGATACTCTCCCTCAACAAATCCATAATTTTTTGAACTTCGTTTGGCTTTCTTCTGAAATTATCAATGCTGAAGGCATAAGCAGAAAGATATTTCACGCCAAGCTCATAGCAATTAACAAGCAAACACAAGAGAGCAAAAGCCCCTGCATCGTGACCTGCTCCTTCATCTAACTTCTTCTTTTTAGCATATCTTCGGTTTCCATCCATAATGACAGCAATGTGAGAGGGGATTGGACCAACTCTAAGAACTCGAAGCACAAATTTTCTTATGAAACTCGTCCATCCAAACAAGATTTTTCCTACATTGTCGTCTTTCATCATGTCAAATTGTTGTACTTAAAAAGTGACAGATGAGATGAAGAGTTGTAGTCTCGGAGAGTGGATATTTAAGGCACCATGTCATTGTCATGCTTCTACCAATTTCTGCAACATTTCGCGAGCATGTTGGAAGTGTGACAACTGAACTCGCATTAAATTTTATCTCATCTTGGAATTGCTGTTAACTACCTTCTCAATTACTGTAACTACATGCTTATGGAGGGTAAGAGCCTAAGATGTTGCCCAAATTGGCAGCTTACAGATGCTTGAACATGTATAATGTAAACCGAGGCGAACCCGCAACTCACTCTAATTCATTCTTACAATTTTTTTAAAAAATAAAATTTTAAAATTTAAATATTAATATTTACAACTTCATCTCATGCATTACAAATACCACCAACTACTCTTCCCCACTTTGTTTAGATTTTTCTTCATGTTTCTTATCTCTAGATTTTTCTAGTCTAAATATTTTCTATGCATACTTTTTATAAATAGACTTTAATTTTTTAGATAATGTTACAAATGATTTTTAGATTATAATGAAACAATCAATTTAACATTTAAATTTTGAATATTGTTAATATAATATTTGAGTTATAAATTTATTATTTAATATAATATTTAAAGAGTTATTTACTCTTTACATGTCAATATTCAAAATTAATCACCTTAAAATTGAATAGTTATTATATTAAATAATTTTTAAATTCAAATATAATTTTAATCATTTCATTATAATTTAAAAGTAATATGTTTATATATCGGTTCAGTAACCAACATTAAAGCTTATATAAAGATAAAAGGTATGGTGCCTAAAGTGTGTGGACCAAGGAAGAGTGGCGTGCTTTGTAGAAAAGTAAAGTGAGCGATTGACGAGTGACATGAGAAGTGTGCGGTGAGCAAAGTAAGAAAGAAATAACAGAAATGCTAGGGACACTCGCAGCTGCCATTATTATTCAACACTCGATTGCATATGAATCCACGTTTTTAAACTTAAAACTGATAACTTATTATTACAAGTTGCATAACTGTCCTTTATAATTGAGAGTAAAATTGAATTACATTTATTTTGAAAGATCGAGGACAAAACGTCTTTCACGTCTTTTTAATTTTTGGTTTCACCGAATCTCGGACGATACTTTATCCAAAAAAAACAAACAAGATATTTTTTTAATTTTGATTTTGATGGTATTATCGATAGGAAAAACTATCACTAAGCTAAACTCACAAATAATACAATAAGAATAGCATTTTTTTCTTTTAATATCTTACTTCTATAATTCTATTTATATTATATATTTTACTTAATTATAATTTTTACCTCTTTTTATGTATGTATAATACATTTGCATTTGTGCAAGGTATAAAATTAAAAATAAATAGTTTTAAGTTATATTTGATACATAAGATAATAGATAAGATTTAATTTGTGAGTTTTAAGATGATATTATTTAATATAATCATATTTTTAATATCATTTTATCCTATCCTATATTTTTAATATAATCTCATGTATTGTAATATCTCAACCCAAATAATAATTGGGCTAGACTAATACTAAAGTCCATCAGTTTATTAAGACATTATTTAGTAAAAAAAAAAGATTGAAGTATTAGATGAAAGAAAACCTACCTATTGTGAAACAGAAAGAAAATATAGTTCTTCTTCTTCATCTTCCTTATGATTAGAGAATATGAAAAATCAAGTTGGAGATTAACAATCAGAGGCTATAATCAAGTTAATCTCTTAAAGATGAGTACATGCCCTCTTTTTATTTAAGAAGAAATATCAAGTTGATTAATATTAGTTGCAGTTGAAGTTTTGAGAGAAAAACCAAGAAAAATTATGAAATCTTTCATTAATCTTCATGATCTATTTAGGTATATTACTGGGCTTTGTTTATTTCATGTTTTTAAGATTCATTGATGATTATTGAATGGAGTTTGAAGGCGGAAAGTAAGGATTTGAGGTTTTAAAGATTGAAAGAGAAATTCTATTTTTGGATGAGATGTTGTGATCTATAATAATAAATTAAAATAGAATTTGGTATTAATGAATAAATTATTGCTATGATTGTTATATATCATTGGAAAGCATGTTGAATCTAGTTTCTAATAAAACAAACGAAAGTCAAATCCGAGTTTCCTATATAGAGTTGTCTAATTTTAACTTAAGGATATACAGGCTATAAGAAAACAACATCAGGGTTGAATTTCAAAATTCCTCTTAATTTTTATACAAGGATTTACAGATTAAGCCATATATGTTTGGAAAGCTTATTGAGTCTACTTTCCAATGAAATAAGCGAAATTGAATTTGGAGTTTCCTGTGAATAAATATATAATTTTTATTAGAAGGTATATAGGCTGTCTAGTAGCAGCATATGATGTGGATTTCAAAACTTGTTATAATTAATCTCCAAGGAATTAAGAGGTGTGCCGTATATGGTTAGAAAGTTTATCAAGTCTAGTTTCTAACGCATTAAAGAGATCATAATTCTGATTTGGATATATTGAGATATGACTATTTTAATGAAAATAGGTCAGGCTACCAATATTAATTAGTTAAGTTAAACCTTGTGTAACTTAGTTGATTTTTGTATAAATGGTCTCAAAAAGGGTTGATTAAATTCTGATATATTGAAATGATCTTGGATAGACCATTAATTATTTTGAGGGAAAAACTAAGTGGTGGAATCAAATGGAGGTAAGTAGAATCTCACACTTTGCTTGTTTTCGAAACTATATATATATATATATGTTTCTAAATGAATTAATATTTTATTTCATTATTTTTGGTGTATGAAAATAGGATCAAGCATATGATTATTTTGTGTTTCTCTATATAAATGATAGATCATGCTTATGAATGAAATGAGAAAATGATTTATGTTTAAAGAATGATTTTGTGATGGCTATGTTTTTACATTCCTGAGAAGTGAGATCATTGACATCGAAACTAGTTTTACGGTCCTAGTTAACGGGTTACAATAGTTAGCAAATACATGATCATACGGCCCTGCTAACGGGTGATAGTAGTTAGTGTAAGGCCCTGGCTAGTGGATTATAATAGTTAGCAATGATCATGATGATGAAATTATCGATACAACCAATGTCATGGGTTATAGCAGTGACCGTAGCTAATGATAAACGATTGATAATGATGATTTATGATATTTTGAATAATTGATCCATGATTTGGATTGATTACGATATTTGAATGATAGTATATTTTGCAATGATTTAGAAAGTGATATATTTTGACATTGATTTATGAATTTATGAAATATTTGACAAAATGTTGATATGAAAATGTTTTGACATTATGATTTGATGAGTGTTTTGAATGATCTATATGATGTGTATGAAAACGATGCTTGATTTAGTAAGGTGTGTGAGCCTATACTTACTGAGCTGTGGTTTGCTCATTCTCTTTTACTTTTTCTTTACAGATGACTAAATGATAAGTTTGATTAGTCTTGTGTGAAACTAGAAGATGAAATGGAAAAAATTACTCAGTCGTTGAAGAATATATTGGCCAATGAGATCTTAAGAGATAGTTTTGTATTCTATATGGTTTGTATTTGGATATATAAAGATGTATTATTAGTTGGATTAAAGATATAAATTTTACTTGGTAAATTGTTTTATTAAATCAGAAAGAATTTTAGAATGTATTAGAAAGAAGGCTTTGTATTGCTTTGAGATTTTTTTCAAGATAATACGATCGTGTTACGTCTTGACCTCGAGGCATGACAAAAGTGGTATCAGAGCTTAAGTTACGATCTTTGAAGAATTTTAAGAGGTAGATTATGATTTGTAGATTGTGTTGATACTTTTTTTAAAAGTTTAAGTTGTATTTTTTGGAGATTTTCTAAGAGTTCATATTATGATCTTTAAATTATGTGAGATGTTAAAGAGCTTATAGTATGATTTCGATGATTTTTTAAGAACTACGATTATGATAGTTGAAGATTTTTAAGAAGTTAAATTATGATAAGTAGATTAACGATGATTTTTTAAGAATATAGCTTATGACTTTTGGATTGAAAGAGATTCTATGAGTATGATTATGATCTATATATTATGTGAAGATTTTTAAGAATTTAGATTATGACCTTTGGATAATGTGATAATTTTTCAAGGACATAGTTTGATTCATAAACTATATTCGTGAGTATGACTAAATGATTCGATAAATTTTTGGAGTAACTAAAGTTTTAATGAATTTTAAGGAATCAATGATTCAATGAATTCTGGGTGTAATTATTTTGGTTGATATTTATATATTACTTTTGGATCTTACAATTAAGAGAAAGTGTAAGTACTTTGATATAGTGCGATTTTATAAGTTGAAAAGATTTTCGATGTAACTTATAATAAGATATATTTTATGAGTTAAGTGATTATTTAAGAGAACGATTTGATCGTTGGAGATCCTATGGGTTTGATAAAAGACTTTTGACTTAATGAGATTTTAAAGTATTTGATAAATGTAAAGTGAATCCTTAGTCATGGATTACGATTGAAATATGAGTGTACATTGTTAGAATTAAAAATATAGAATATTAGAGTTTGAATGGAATAATGTTTTGAAATTTTGAAGTAATTATTTATGAGCTATAATGTTTGAGAATTTGTCTCGATGGATTTAGTCCAAAATGTGATAATTGTGGTAAATAGTTTAATATACGTAAAGAAGGATGTTCACTTGATTTGGTTTTACATTTTTATTAAGAAAGTATTTAAGGTCTGATCATGCGAGTTGGATGTTTGTATAGTTAATTTGAAATTTGATCATTAAATTCCTATTTGAGGCTACTGATATTTTTAATGGCTAAAGTGATTAATTTATGGTTATAGTTTTTAATTGAAGTATACTATTAGATTCCTTCGAATTTTATATTTATGGAGAACATGACCTATTATGGTATAAGGTTGTGTACTTAGCAAGGAATTAAATTGTGGTTATCTAGATGATTTAGTAAGGAAGTTGATTTTAAAGGAGTAATCGATTTACAGAAAAATATGCATGTTTTGGTTAA